ACATATGTACGTACATATGTATTTGTGTAAGCAAAAGGAATTTGGCAACTTTCAACACCAAACAATTGTTTACTTCAAACGCACGCGCCAATATGTCGGCAGCGATAAAATCGAAGATACGTTGCTATGCAGATATACAAATATATATATATATATATATGCACATGTATATTTACATATATATACGCACATATTTATTTCAAGTATATATGTACGCTCATCGACATATGTAAATATATTCAGCATTGACCCTACTCTTCATTTATGCATTTAACAGATCAGCGTCCATTTAACATTTACATTAACATAACGGTTTTATTTTAGTTAGCAACACTCACTATTTATCCGCATACCCAAGCTATGTGCCTTCGGTTTGCTTTTGTTTTTGTTACTTATGAATATGCCACATACGCCACAATTTTACATTAAACGTATTTGATTTTTTGTGAGTCGAAATTTATATTATTACTATACTTTTTAAGATTTAAAATTTAATTTAATGCTAGGTACATCAATTGATTTGGGTCTCAACTCGTTCTTTTCTTGCTTCGTTTGTATAATTAATAAAAAAATTTAAAAGTCGCTTATAATTTTTTTATATAATTACAATAATGTGTATATGTATATATTAGTTAGTCATAAATTAACTTCAGGCTTTCTTAAATTTTATTTTTTTATGTTTTTTTTCTTCTTTTTTTCTTACATTTTACTTAGAAAAATTGGGTGCAAGCTGAGGTTTGAACAACATTTGGCAGCGCAAAATAAATACAATAATATAAATGAAATAAAAAATTCAAAATTAAAAAGTACAGTGGGCCTTAATGAAGGATTTTCTCCCAAATGTAAATATATAAATATATATGGTGAAAGAAATACTAATAAAAAAAGTCCACAAATATATTTAAAGGCACAGTGTGCCACAATAAAAATTTTCCTCACAAAAATCTAAAGGCACAGTGGGCCGTAATAAAGTATTTCGACCCAAAAATAATATAATTTTAAAAATTAAAAGGCAAATATAAAGGCACAGAGGGCCATAATGAAGAATTCTGGGCCCAAATATAAGTAGAAAACTGGTTTTAGGACTAGCTTAAATATATATAAGACACTTAAAAAAAGAATATTTTTACCATAATATTTTCCGAAAAATTTGTGCTTTTATAATTTTTTAGATTTTTATTTATTATATTTTTTATTTATTATTATATATTACCTACGACTAGAACATTCAAGAAATTATTTCCATTTATTTGAGTGAAATTTGAAAATTTGCAGTAATGTTTTTGTAAGAAATCCAAATTTTTTCTAAAAAACAATACTTTAAAAAAATTTGTAGGAAACGCTGTAGAAATTGCGATTCTGTAACAGTTCTGTACGCGCTGGAATAGCAATTTATGACAGCTTTAATTGCAACTAAAGAAAGGTGAAATTTTACTAAAAAATTCATATCAAAAAATTTCAAAGTTACAAATTTTTCACAATGTCAAATACGGTCCAAGCAAAAATTTCCAAAAAAAAAAAAATAAAGTTAAAAAGTTTTCCCGCTGTCAAATGTTATTCAAACTTCAGTAAAGTAGGCAAATACGCTTAAAAATTACATTTTCTAAAAAGTAGCTTTTTAAACCTATTACTGCATTTACACTTTGAATTACACTGTATTAAGTATATTAACTAGTTTATAGAAGAACAAACGAAAAAATATCGAAAATTGCAACAAAAATACTTCACTACAAAGTTGGGAGTGGAGTGACTTCACGCTGTACATGTATGTGCGTCTGTGTGTGTGACTTAGGAAAATTACTGACCTAACACTTACGCGTGCACTGTATATGACATTTGTGAAATACGAACAATTTTTGCAAAAAGTAATTATTTCATTGTTTGCAACGACATTTTAGACTATATATTTAGTATGCTTAACAAAGATTCCCATATGTTTGCATATGTGTGTATACATCTATGCAAGTATGTGTGTATTTGCGCGATTTGCGTACGAAGTTTAACGCCTTTTGCTTTAAATATAAACTTCGTAAGTTTCATTTTACAATTTTTTTTTAGATTTTTTCTCCTTCTTACCCTTCTTCTTCTTCCTCTTCTTAATTAAGTGTAGTTAAAACGAAAAGCTTTGGCGCTAAACGCCAAGTCACAGTTATTTCCTATTACTTGTTGGTAATTACTTTTTGTTGCTGCATTTTTAGTTGAAATACTATATGTATAATTGAGCGCGGAGGAGCGGGGAGCAGAGTAGTAGATAGGCACAATAAACATGCTTTAATTAAATGACTTCAATTATTGTAATTATGCAATTAGAAGTGTGCACTGATTCGAAATATAAAAATTTATCTATATATGTGTGTGTGTAGTAGAGGGCATATGTTTATATATTTACTAATAATTATTGTTGTTGTAAGTGCTTGGTTTTTTTGTTGTTAATTTGCTAAACGGCGAGAGTTTTAAATTGATTTTTGTGTGTTATTTTGTAAATATTGTAAGTTCTGATCTGATTTTTACGCTATATACTATATATATATTTATATGTACACTTTTTGATACTTGGGTATGCAGCATATGAATTGTTGTTGTCTGTCAGTTACATATTTTATTTTGTTTTAACGCTCTTGAGGTTAGGCTTATTGATATTTATTTTTGCAATTTCCGCTTTTCACTTATTGCTCCAGAAAATTTAATTCCAATCACTCATTTATGCCACAATTTAGCGTTATTTAGTAATTACACTTGTAAGCGATTAATTCATACAAAATCTTGTGCAATATTTACTTAAATCGTTTTGCGTTTAATGATTTCTGTTGTTGCATATTCGAAAATACTTAAACTTTGACACTTTAAGTGAATTTCTAGTAAAAAATTAAAAGGCATTTACTAATTCCACACACTTCCACACGCTTACGCACTAAGCTTGCATTGCTTACACACGCGAAAACCAACAAATGAAAAGTAGAAAAAACCGCAAACACACAACGAAATTAAATCTAAATGTAGAAACGACAATTATTTGTAATCGTAAGTGAACAACATTATATTTTATTGCATTGTGTGTATGCGTGTGTGTGTGAAAGGAAGTATACACCATAAGCGTCGCATCCACATACATGTATGGAAGTGTGTTTGTATTGCCCTCACAAGGCGCCTGCAGTCGTAAAGTAAAATGGAAACGTAAATCGGCACAGAACAAAATATTATTATTTATTACATAAACTATACTTAAGGGAGCTTGTCGGGAGCATCCGGACGAGTGAGCCGACGAATTGAGTTGCACGACTAATTGAGTTTCCGGTTTCTTTCATGAGCCTACGCCTACTTATTTGCCCATCGCCCGCTGTCAGCTGTCACGGCGTGCGCGTATGACAGCCAATTGTTGTGCTCGAACGCATTTGCAACATCCTGCAGCGGGAGCACACGCATACACTTGCTCATGAATAAGTACTGTTAATTCATGTAAATTTGTTTTGGCGGTTATGTGCGGCTGATGGCGGGCCTTCAATGATGCCTGTGCGCTGTTTCGCTTTGATTGACGTTTCTTTACAGCACAACAACAAAAATAATAATAATTGTGGTAAAGCTGATAATTTAGAGAGATCTTTGAGAGCTGAGTTCAAAACTCTCGAGAGTTATATCTGCTGACTTCTTTGTTCTCTCCTTGAGTTAGAGCGTATATTGGGCGCATTCTTTAAGACACTATAGAATGAATGAGAATTGGCTTCAATATATTATCTTTCGATTTTGCTGCCTTTACTGATTAATAACTAACAAAGTGTCTATTGAATTTTAGTTCTTGATCTTCTGAGCTCTCTTGTGTTTTTATTGTTGCAATTATGCAAACTGTCCCGCAGTTCTCTGTGCTTTAGACTTCGACTTATTTAATAAGAAAATTAGACACAATCAGTACGTTTTTATTACTCAGTGCCGGAAGGTATAAGAAACTCTTCTTTTGCAGATATTTACGCTCAATACGGGTGGAATTTTGTTATCCAATCCTCAATTTGGAAAATTGCCGCGAAATATCGAGAGATGAAGTAAACTGACAGTGCTTCTGTATCAAGCAAAAAAAGTTTGTTGCTATGCGAGCAACCCTTCAAAGGATTTATTCGAATTCACTGGCTTGTTTAATTGTCTATCACCTAAACCACAAACCCATTTGTTAGTAAAAGCTTCAAGTTGACGTTCCAATATAACTGACGTGTCACATGTCAAACGCCAACGCTAAGGAGAACTCGAATGCAACTAATTTAGTCTATAAATYATAACAGCTATTAGTTTTGACAAGTCAATTGACATTTGCGAAAGCTTTGAAACATGTTGACTTTTATGTAAATTGGATTATGGAGGCAATTAAAACAAAGAACTGTCACAAAATCTTTTAAAAATGTTTTATGAAATGTTGCTGCAGACCCCTAACTACTTTGAAACGAAGCTTAAATGTTGATCTGGACTATAGTATCGAAAAAATTATATCTAACTCAGCTATGATAATGATCTGCATTGATGTGAACGATTCAGTAGTTATTTTGAAGGTAGTCCCAAGCAGTCACATCCAACTCAATACTCATAGTTTTGTGGGRCACGATTTAAGCCCTTTCTGGGGTGAAAAAGAAGTAAAATACTTTTGTTTGGAAAACACCAAAATGCCAACTGCTGCTATCTTTATGCTAAAAGTTTTAAAGAGATAACAAGAAAGTAATAATTTAATAAAACCGTTAAGTGAACATAAAAGCCCATTAGGCGCGATAAAAGTGTAACACGCAATCAAATAGAGTAAGTCTTCGCTACTTTTTAAGCAACTTTAACTTTCAACTTGAAAAAGCACCCACTCCAGCTAAGCAAATAGAATTATGTAACTCAATTTTGTCTACAACTCAATTTGCACTTGCTTTGTCTTCAACAAATGCTCCGCAACCAATATAACTGCTACTTTACATATGTATGTAAACATTCTTTCTTTGTATGTATATGTATATATGTATATATATTTTAGGTATTTACGTTTGTATATTTCATTTAAGAGTCCTAACTACTTGTTAGAGATTTAAAAGCTGTTGCTACCACTGTTGCTTGCGCGTGTACTTCAGATCCAACTCGTACAAACATACTGCTGGCTACATATTTCCATGTATGGCTGCTTGTATGTAGGCTTGAGCGTGTTTTGTATTTAACTGTATGCGTCATTCCAGCCAACCACTGTCGGCGTCATTTCATGCGAACGACGCTGAAAACAGTTGTGTTAKTCGGCGMCCCTGCCYACCTTCGTGCCGGACCACCGTCGCTCAAAACTAGCGTAATTTAGAAGAAGAAATCCTCCACATCACCATTGTTCTCAACGCTGCCGCCGTCTATGCCCAAGCCAATACCGATACCTAGACCGATACTTATGTTGTCGTCGACATTGTTCAGGTCGTCTTCGACATTCTCTTGGCCGCTGATGTTGAGGGTGATGGGTAGAGTGTTGCTTGTGTCCACGTCGGCGGTCGCTGTTTCCGTTGCTGTCGTAGCAGTTGCTGTATTTGTGGCTGTGTCGGTTGTGTCGTCCTCTGTTTTGCACTTTGTTGTATCCGCCAGCGGATTGCCCAGTACCTCAGTGACGTCGACTATGGGCCCCAGCGGATCGAAGGAGTCGTCGAGCAGTACGCCACTCTCAATAGCTGCAACAGCTTCCTCATAGTATCAGTTAAGGTCTTTGCGAAAACTATCCTCGATGCTTGGATCGGCAATCATGATCGAGTTCTGATCCGCTAGCAGATCTAGCGCAGTCTCGTCCATTTGACTCAAATCCAGATCAAGCGAGTCGAAGATCTCACGCGACGAATAGTCGGAGAAGATGATCGCCGGTATATTGGTGTTGGTCGGCGTATTAGCGTGGTTCTGTGCATGGTGATGATGTTGCTGTTGATGGTGGTGTTGTTGATGATGTTGCTGTTGCTGGTGGTGTTGCGTCGTCTGCTGATGTTGGTTGTGATGCGTGGATGCATTATTTGTGCCGTTGCCACCAACATGTGGCGCAGTCGAGACTCCACCCGTCAGCGTTGTTATGCCCGGCGAGGAGGATGACAGTGAGGAGGCGTGGTGTGGCGAATGCAGAGGCGAATGGTGCGGTGATGGTTGTGCTGAATGCGAGTGCAGCGACAGCGACAATTGCTGGTGCTGATGATGCGGCGATTGCGCATTTGTAGGAATCGGTAAGGGTGAAGACGGTGACGGCAGGCAACCCAAGGGTGAGGCTGTGGGCGAAGAGTTCACTTCATTCGCTTGCGTCAGATTCACATTGTTGTTGCTGATGCGACAGGGACCGTTTGTTATGGCGTTACTATTCGCGTTGTTGCCAGCACCGGCACCATTGTTATTCAACATTTGATGGGAGAGTATGCGTGTACCTTGGTGTGTGTTGTTGTTATTGCTGGTATTGCCGCCGTTGTTAGTGTTACACGTGCCACCTCTACTACTTTGCGTCGTTGCCGTCACCGCAGCGCCGGAATCGCCCGTCAGATCGCTAAAGTCCAATTGTTTGCTCTGTGTTAGGGGCTGTGAATAAGGCGATCCATTGCCAGCACCGCCGAAGACATCGAAATCTAATGTGGTAAAGCTATTCTGTTGCTGCTGTTGCTGGCGCTGCTGCTGAAAGTGTTGCTGCAACTGCTGCTGCTGCTCGGGTGAGGAATTGCTGTCGCCTAGGGTGAACTGCTCAAAGTGATTATGGAACGACGAGTTGAGGCTGTTGAAGCCAGCATTTTCTGGCGCAGCTCCAGCTAATGCAGGTGAGTAGCGATCGAAAGCCTGCATGTTCTTCTCATTGTAGGCCTGCATACTGGAWCCAATCATGCCGGCCTGCGGATGCCGAATTGGACTGGCTGGYGCGCTGATGTGTACCACATCATTGCTCGAGACGGACGTTAGCAGGCCGGGTGAGGAGCCCGGACTGGGTGGATTCAATGGCTGCCGATATTCGGTAAGATTGCCCGTCGAACTGGCGGCACCCAGGGTAGGCAGGTTGGTGAATGTACCGGTTTGTGCGGTATTTTGTGTATTGCAACCGTTGCCGGTTGGCGACTGAACGGCGAGATTTGTGAATGATAAATGCGGCGATGTTTGCGCTGCTGTAGGTGTATTGGCGGCTGACGTGGGCGAGTGTTGTTGCTGCTGATAAGGTGACGGTGGACCACCACCTATGCCATTGCCATTGCCGCCAGCCGGACTGAAGGGACTTGAGGACTGATCGCGTTCGCGGCCATTGTTGAGCGGTGACAGGATGGGCGAGAGCGTTTGCTGTTGTTGCTGCTGCTGGTGCATTAGTTGTTGTTGTGCGGGCGAGTAATGCAATGACGTCAGGTCTGGCAACGAACCGGTATTGGCGAGCGCCAGTGTTTGCTCCTGCAGCGATTTGAATAGACTATTTATTGGCATATTGCAGTTAGTATATTTGGCATTGAACTGTTGCGGATGTGGTTGTTGGCTAACGCTACTCGCTGGCTGTTGCGCATGGTGCTGCTGGACATGTTGCTGTTGTGCTTGTTGCTGATGCATATGATGTTGTTGCTGTTGCTGCTGAAAGTGTTGCTGTAGCTGTTGATGTTGCTGCTGYAAGTGCAGATGCTGCTGACTATGATGTAGGTGTTGTTGCTGCTGCTGCTGTTGCTGCTGATGTAGCATCTGACCTTTCCGTCTTTGTGCTTGTGGACTGAAGCTGCGGCCAATATTTGGCGAATGAGATCGTTGATTGTGGTGCTGGTAACTGGCGTGCAGCGCATTCATATCCCCCATASCGCTCATGCCACCACCCGGTCCGAAACCGCCCTCAGCCGCTACTGCCATATTCAGCGTTTGATGAAGTGCCGAGTCAGAGTTCGAGCGCCGCCAACTGCTATCCATTGGCGGACTAAGATATGCGTTGTTGCTYATGCTCGCATTCATGCCGGTTGCGACGGCAGCGCTGCTGCCATATGGCGAACGATCTTGTTTGCGCTCGGARGGACGTCGCATCGGTCCGACGCCGACGCTGCGACCACGTGACTCACGCGAATTGCTATTATGTGTGCCGTCCGGAGAAGCTCCACCACTGCCGCTGTTGGTGGTATTTGTTGCGCCACCGCTATTGCCGGCACCACCGCCATCTGCAGTATTAACTACAACGCCTCCTCCACCTCCGCCGCCACTACCSCCTCCTCCTATACCAGCGCCGCTTACCAAACTGGCATTTGTGGCGTGATTGCTGCCGATGTCAGTATTTACTAAACAGCATTCCAATATCTTCTGATTCGCTTGGGTCTCATCCATTTTAGTTGCGTAAACCTCTTTCATAATACGCTCGAACTCAGCGGTGCCCTCTTGCTGGCGCTGCTTCTGTAATGCGATTTTCTCACTAAATTTGCGCGGATTTGCCATGATTTCAGTTCTTCGCTCGCTGCTGATTCGTCGTCGTCGTCGTCGTCGTCGTTGGCTCTTTTGCCGGTGTTAGCTCGGCGGATATTGTTACTGCAGCTGCTCTTGCTGTTGTTGCCGTTGCCGTTGCCGTTCCGTTATGGGACAAACTCGTGCGTGTGTCGTGTGCCGCTTCCCTCTACTGGATTGCGTCTACTTGTCTGCGCTGTTGTACTGCTTGTGAAAACGTCAATACCAGACGTACGGAAGCCGGCATAACGTTGGTCGAAGTTGTTTTGTTTCGGTGGTAGCAGGCGAACAATGACCGAACGACGACGCCGCGAAAACACATCCGTACCGAGCGACAACAACCAACGCATTGATAACAAAACAAGCAAACGGTTCGGTGTACGCGAAGAGTCAATGGAAATTTGCGAAGCACACAAAGCGGAGAGTCCACAAATATCAAGGGTGTATCAGTGTGTCAGCGGCAGTTGCGTGAGGGGGCGGCGCCAAATGTGTGCGGCGTTGGCGGCGGCATAMATTTTCACCAAACATCCATATGAATATGATTATTGTTTTCATTGGTGTTGTTGTGGTTTAATTTGCATTTCCATTGTTTAATAAATTTTTTATATTCGTCGTTATTATTGCGAAGAGTGTTGATAAAGGTAAAAGAGAAAAAACAAAAACAAATAATATTAATAATATTAGACAAAGAATGCAAAAGTTTCCGTGAACATGGGGATGGAGGGATGGAGCGATGGAGGCAAGAGTGACATGAGTAATGCAAGCGGTGAATAAAATGTGAAAGCGCAGCGTCAATTAAACCCAATATGGTTGCGACCGTGTCAAGAATCTTAAATATTTAATAGGTTACAATACTTATAATTAATTTTCTGTCTCTGTAAAAGGCCTGCGGGRGAGAGTGGTGGCTGTGGGCTAGCAGCTGATGGTAATGCCTCAGCCAAATCCCTTACTGTCATAATTGTGACTATTTTTGGTAWATATATGTAAATATCTATGATTATTTTGTGACAAAGACGGCATAGGTTCGTGTATCAAATTCATAAATGACGTTTTTGTGTAAAATATTTATTGCGGCTGCAAGCTTTTTACAGCCCTGCGTGGTTGTATATATAGTGAACAAAAATCACGCGGAAATTATAAATAAAAATTCCGGGCAAATGATATTTCAAAAATATGTATTTTGATAAGTCGGTTAGACTATTCTTAATTACTATGCTTAATAAGAGTGCGAGTTTCTTTACAGCGGCTACCTAAGTCGATACACCTTAGGAGTGCGTTGCGACAATTGCAATAAATAATAAAGAATTTCTCTAAAATTTTGTATTTTTAACCAAATCGGAATCGTTACGAATGTTGGAAAAAGCTTACAGCGATTCAGTTTTACCAAAAACACAAGCCTACGAGTGGTAAAAAGCATTCAAAGAGGGTCGAGAGATCGTTGATGTCATGTCACATTCTGGACTACCTAGAGCCTTTTCAAACGATGAAAATATTGATACAGTGAAGGATTTGGTCATTGAAAATTGATTTTGGTGAATGTTCTGGGTATGAAATGCGTTCTTGCTCGACTCGTCCCGACAAAGCTGAATTTTTTACAAAAAGTGTACGGTAAACAGGCCTCTTTGGGCCCTCATGCGAATCCGATCCCACATTCAAGGAAAGTAATATAATCGCCGGACTGAATGAGGAACTCTCCCGAAATTGTGTTTTCAAAGTAGCTAACTACTTCACCGATCTTAATGAAACTTTACACGATGTTCGAAATATAATTTCAAGGTATTGAATGAAAGAGTTTGGTTTTGTTCTATTAAAAATATAAAAAAATATATACAAATTTTGTTCAAAATTTGATTTTTTTTAAAACATCTACCCAATTATAATTTTGAATTTATTATTCTTCCTACGTCCCAGTTCATTGTCTTACTAAAAAACATAATTTTTTCTATTTAATTGTAAGAAGTTCTGCTGTCTACGCGGTGGCAGCTTTTTCTGAGGAACTTCCGGAAATGTCGTCGTAAATTCGAGTTTTGAAGATTTTTTTTTTTTTGGAAAATTTCACAAGATCTTTGAAAAAACGTACACGTAATGTACCAAAAATTTAATAAAGCAAATATTTGATTTTTCATATGAAAAAAACTTTCCCCCCATWACGACCCACATAATCTCATCTCGTTGCTCAACTTCCGAGTTCTTCATCATTCRCTTTCTCCCATAGATTTCAGTAAGTAAAAATAGTCAATGAAAGAAATTTGCTGACTTCAGATTTTAAAGATTGAAAATATAGCCTCGAACTCCCCTACAAAGCAAATGCATGATACAAACAAAACAAAAAGAAAAAATACAAACCAATCGATTGCTTATTTCTCAACTTCAATTTGTAAAGAAGTATACAAATCCATGCATGCATGTATGTATGTGTTAGTGRGCACTTAGAATTTACACACAAAAGGTTAGTCAACCCTGTGCAACTATATTTAGATTTGTGCACATCTTCAAAATTCTAAGTATGCGTATTCAAAGTAAGAAAAATAAACACACACAGACTCATGCGCATATCTCGATCTCTTGAATGGAATTTTCGCCTGCACGGATTTGGCACACATTTGCCGTGTGAAGCACAACTCCCACAACGCCAATGCATTCGCTCTACGCACGMGGGGCGAAAAGCTTTGCGCTGCCTGGWGCTCTGACTCTGCCAACGGCTGCGGATGTGGTCGTGGTCATSGGACTGTGTGCGTTGACTATGTGACTGCGGCACTWGCGCCGCCATCGAGAGATCCAACTGGCAGCGCGGCGCTTAAATGCCGCAAATATTTGGCGTTGCTGGTGTGTCTTTACATTCTTGCTGCCATAATATTTACACACCTTCTTATATAATATACTTGTATATGTATATGTGTGGTACATATGTTAACCTATAGCATAGATTTGCTAAGAGCTCCGGCTGATTGATTTTTTGGATTTGCATGGTATATATAATTTCTTTGTTTGCTGTGCGGCAGACAAGTCGGCTGTCGCTTGAGAGCGGAACAGTTGCTTTGCTGCACATACCTTCACACATTCCTATTTATGTTTAAGCATGTGGTGGTATATACATACATATGCGAAGCTCAAATATTTTGGCGAATGTGCGCCGTGTTTGCGCATGGATTTGCAACAGGTTTAATCTTTTCGCAGCTTTTATCATTGAATTGATAAGATTTTATACGGAGGCTGTATTACTAATTAAAAGTGTTTGAAAAGCTGTGACAGTCAAATGCAACATGCACTGGAAATTTGGTTTGATAAGACTGTATAGTTTTTGTGCGGTTAAAGTGTTCCTAACTAAGCGCTGGCTCTTAATTTGCTGAACTCAAAAAGTAATATGGAAATATTTCATCCATCGAAACCAATTTTAGTGKAATTGTTGTAGGAATCCAACGCGGGCCTCTAAACTAATAAGCTTTACTGAAGGACTTGGTAGTCCAATTGCCTACCATCAATTTAACTAAATATATCTCTTGATTTTTGGTGATAARTATCAGCTGATAATATTTAAGGTGACGCTATCGACTTTCATATTTATTTGATGAAGGTCCATATTGAATCTAAAAATCTTGTTGAATTGACTCACCAAGCAAAATGCTTCAGTAATGGATCTCCGCTTTTTGAAATAGTTGATTTGAAAGTGTGAATTTCATCTTATTTAGTTGGTATGATTTCAAGCTCTGAGAGCGAAATTCCCTCTACCCCTCTATCTGCTTACAATAATATTTAATTGAATATATATATGTACATATAAATTTTTACCTCGACTTTTCGCAGCGGGTGTAAAACTTAAATATTTTGTTCAATACATAAAACCATAACCGTTGGTGGGTGCTCTTAATCTAATCATTCGACAATGTAATGTCTAAAACATTACTTTTCACCTCAGATGTGCAACAAWCATACTGATATCTCCACATATATACTACGTTTTACTGTTATAATGTCGACTCACTTTGATAAACCGTAACACAGATAAGGCAGATGAGTCAAATGGAACAATTAATTAAAGCAAATGCGTATTTTTGGGGGGAAACGTACGAATATGTTTGTATATAGATACATACTATGTGTGGGCAATGAAATTATTTCCCGGCTTTGTTGTCTAAACTTGATCTTATCGTTCGACTACTGGAGTATTCATATGGGCGACAATTACATATGAGGCGTATTATACTCGAATATGTACATATTCGTATAATATTGGCTAGTCGATAAAGTCTTTTCGTATTTTGTCAATAGATGTCGTTGCAGTTGTATATCATCTCAATCATATGACTATATTTTGAAAGTTTTGTATAAAAAAGGGAAAAATGCCACGCAAGCAATCAATGAAACTTTTAAAGCTTGCCGAGACGATGCTGTATCAGTTCGTGTAGCACAACAATGGCTCGCTCGCTTTCGTTCTGAAAATTTCGATGCGGAAGATACACCTCGCTCTGGTCGACCTATCGAGTCGATGAAATTATAGAAAAGATTAACCTGGACCATCTCATAAGTAGCTATGACATAGCTAGGGAACCTAACATTCATAATCAAACGCCTTTGTTGACTTGTGTCTGTGAAAAATTTATTGCACCGAATTAACATCTGCGATTCTTTGCTGAAACGAAAGATGGGTCAACTACGATAAAAATGTGCGAAAACGATCTCAACAAATGTTCGCAAAGCCAGGATTGGCGTCTCGAAGGGTTATGCTGTGTATTTGGTGAGATTAGAAAGGAGTCATCCACTATGAGCTCTAGCCTGGTCGAACGATTGATTCTAAATTTTACTGTCAAAAACTGATGAGTTTGAGTCAAGCACGAACTTTCTAAAGTTACTTGGCCAGATTACAATGTTGTTACTCATAAAATGAGTTCTAATTTATGGTTTTCGAAAGAATTATGTAAATTAAAAAATAGAAAATCTCGTGCTTTTAAACTTAAAAAAAAAACTGGTTTAGTTGCTGACTATTCAAAATATTCTAAATTGCGCCGACAAAAATTTTTCTATGGTTTCGTCAACTCCAAACGCAGGATTTCTAATTTTCCGTCTGCTACGAAATATAAGTCTAGTATGTCCAGTGACAATCACATCATTTCTAATATGTTCGCTGAATTCTTTAGGTCCAATTACTCTCAAAAATCTCCAAAAAATGTTCCGAATCAGCACAAGCTATGTCCGATTTCTTTCAT